AAAAGTGTTTCCACAGGTGGTTTGTCAAGCCCACTCACCTGTGTGAAGCTTACTTCATAAATACACACGTCTTTTTTTCCCAATTTTGTATCATTCAACAGCACCAGAAGGCTCATATAAACAGTTCTTAAAAAGAACCATTTTTTACTGACTGTGAATGTGATCTATCTAATCTAATCGCGAAGTTCTATAAATCTTCAAAGGTTCTTCTCAGAAGCATCAACACCCCCAAAAAGAACCTTTTCAGAGTGTGGTAAATGAGTTACATATGGAGTTATGCATCTATATAAGCCACACATGAGAGCATGTCTCATTTTGGTTGTGTTTAAAAGAGCCACACCACACATAGGAAGAGCTGGGTGTTCGTTTTCATTAACAAAACAGCGACGAAAGGAAGTTATTAGTCACTGAACTTGCTTGTAAACTTCTAATTTAGGAGTACCGCTCAAAGCGACACCACCAAACACTCTGGCATCAGCGACATATCCCTCCTTCACCTGCTCTAACATGTCATCTCTTTTCAATGCACGACCCGATTTTTTTTTTAGATGGCGTGGAAAGTTCACAGACATTTTAAAACCACGGACTCTAATTGCTTACAAAAGCCTTGCCCTGCTTCTCTGAACCGACATGTTTAAGCTATTCTACTCCGCATTCCTGGGAACAAAAGCAGCAGGACTCGTTCTGCCCCTAAAAAAGCGGGAGAGAAAGTTGATATGATGCCGTGGCTGGAGTTAAACGAGGCATATGCCAGCTGGCGGGGGGCTGGAGGGTCTCTTCTAGAAGAATGTGTAAAGATGAGGGCTGAAGTTGGTTAATCCTCGCATTCTGAAGGAGGAGGGATCGAGCTGACAGGCTTTGAGGAAAGATGAGAAGCCGACGCTGTGATGGTTTCCAGGCATCTGAGCCGAACGCTACAAGAGACTGAACGCAGACTTGCTGTAGATGTATTCTGAGTTATCTAGGGTTAAGTGTATCGCTCAGGGGCATGACAATGTTTGTCAACTGTTGATCAGAAGTTCTGAACTAACAACCTTTAGGTTAGCAAGTGCACATCTTTAAAGAGAAGACAACACTTTTATCAAGCTCCCAATGTCTCGCTGAGCTGATGAAAGCTGTGAATGACAGCACATCAAAACCTTTCGCTTTCATTTTAACCCTATAAAACCCAACCTTTTTTTAGACTAATTTGCATATTGTTGTTGTTTTATGGTTGCTTATCTTATGTGACCCTGGATACACAATCATTAGATCAGACTTACATATACTGTTAAAAATGCAGGGTTCCACGTAGTTTATTCATGTTGTCTAGGGCTGAGCGATATGACAAAAATGCAATCTTGATTATTATTTTCCATATTGAATTATAACAATGTATATTTTTATATTTGTTGTTAATGCTTCCAGATCTAAAAAAGCACCTCACCAATGACTAAAGCCACAAAAATAAGAGTCTATGAAATGGCATAACATTTTCAGCTGATGAATTTTCGGTGGCCATCTCTAAAATCAACACATTTTAAAATTCCCATTGCACATTTTTGCTGTGTGATTGGCTATTAGATTAATATAAAGTAAAAAAAAAAGTGTAGAGCTTACTGTTATTGACATAACTTTTATTGAATTTCGATATAACATTGTTTATCGACTCAGCCCTAATGTTGTCCCAACACAAATCGAATAAGTAAACATAACAAATTTAGGTGGATTGGACATAAAAAAATAAGTTATGCCAAAAAAATAAAAAATAAAATGAAGTAAACGAAGCAATTTGAGCACAGTAAAACCCAATAAATGAAGAGAACTCAAACCAACTGAGTACTAAAAAACCCAATGAGTTAAGGCAACTCAAACCACTTGAGTTAAAAACTAATCTATATAAGTACTGTGAACTTAATCCATTTAAGTTGAAGTAATAAGGTATTTAATTAACTTAGAATTAACTTTCGGTAAATTTTGAGTTAACTACATTGATTTCATTCGATAAAGTTGACTGTTGGGTTTAACAGTGAGGCAATAGCCAAAAATACATTGTATGGGTCAATTCTTTATTTTATTTTATTTTTTATGCTAAAATTATCATGTTCCATTAAGTTTTTTTGTATGTTTTCTATTGTAAGTATATCAAAACCTAATTGTTGACTAGTAATATGCATTGTGAAGCACTTCATTACAACTTTAAATGTGATATTTTCTCAATATTTAGATTACTTTAAACTAAGGGTGGGTGATATGGAAAAAAATATCATATCACGTTTTTTTCTTGGGAAATCACGATTCACAATTTTTATCCTGATTCTTTTTAAAGTTGGTTTGTAAGAATATTTTGCAAATTACAAAGGTACAATATAACCAAACTAATGTCCCCATATAAAAATATACTCTTACCATGTATGTTTAAGAACATTTTATTTATGGTGATACAACGATTTTTCTGAAAAAGTGGATCGTGCAGTAATTTTCATCCGCGACCAAATATCATGTTATAACACAGCCCTACTTTAAACCCTCAGATTCCATTTTTTTAAATAGTCATATCTCAGCCAAATTAGTTTGGTCATAGCCTGCCAAATTATAATGCATATCAATGCAAATGTAATTTATTCAGCTTTCAGGTGATGTATATAAATGTTAGTTTCAGAAAATTGACACTTACGATCAGTGTTGTGGTGCAGGGTCACATATTTGGTACATCAGGCTTTCATGGAGCACTTAGTATTGTATTAACTCATAAACTGAGTTTACAGAGTTTATTGAAGTTTTTTGACATTTACAAGGTCAAGAAGTAAGATTAAATCTATCTATCTATCTATCTATCTATCTATCTATCTATCTATCTATCTATCTATCTATCTATCTATCTATCTATCTATGTATGTCTGTCTGTCAGTCCGTCCGTCCGTCCATCCATCCATCCATCCATCCATCCATCCATCCATCCATCCATCCATCCATCCATCCACCTATCTCATCCAGAAAGTGCATGTTTCTTATTAAATATAAACGCAGATTGTGTGCAACATGTCACCCAGCATGTTTTGAATATTCTGATATTTTGGAAGTTCCATTTTTTAATCAAATATAATGCATCAGGTTTTATAGGGTTAATAAGAAAGCAAATACAAACATCTGAGAGCGATTTACAGATATCGCCGTATATCCTCTGTAATGCAAGTGTGTCACGGTCAATTGACTGTCCTGAACTTCAAATCTAAACAAACTCTGTCATAATAAACTCTTCAGATCGGCCAAATCCATTACACATGGTGCTGATGGTCTGCCTAAAAAAGTTGCATCACTATCCCAACTATAAAAGGCTGTGAACATAAAGTCATGTTTACCGAACGAGTTTTGACTACAGATCATGATACTGTTACATGTAAGTGATCGGTTAACCATAATAAGCACGTTCATACCTTCAAAAGATGTCAATAGGGTATAACTCCCTCATTCAGCTGATGAGTGAGGGAGATTTCATTAAAACAATCCAAATATGGTTTCTGACATCCAACGGAAAAAGAGAAAAGAAAAAAAACAACAACAAGTGGTTTACATCAGTGCCAACTCGGACCATCCTCCTGCCTGTGATAAGAGTATTTAACGGTTATTCCTCTGCTGACTCAGATAACAATGCAAAAAAAAAGAGTCACAATTTGCATTGTTATCTCAATAAACAGTGGTTAATTTAATTCTGAGTATCACACTTGGTGCCGCATCAGGGTTTTAAGGCACATACAATTTTAAACCGAGGAAAAATATCAAATTTGGTAAAATGAGATTCTTCCACTAAGATTAACCTTGCATAAAAAGTCACACTTAGCATTATTATTCCAATAAACAAACATTCATTTAATTCAGAGTATCACACTTGGTGCCGCATCAGGCTTTTTATGGGACATCCAGTATGATATCAGTTTTAAACTGAGCAAAGTTATCCAATTTGGTAATAAGAGATTCTTAAACTAAGATTAAAAATGCATAAAAAGTCACACTTTGCATTATTATTTCAATAAACAAACATTAATTGAATTCAGAATGTCATTTTTGGTGCATCAGGCTTCTGCATATGATGAACTCACAAACTGAAAACAAAACATGCAAAGTGGTGCAGCTGCTGATATTCATATGGCCAAAATGTAAGATGAAAGTGTTAATATTATACAACAGCTATTATTTTGTTTACTCAGATAACAGTGCAAAAAAGGTCACAATTTACATTGTTATCTCAATAAACAGTGGTACATTGAATTCAGAGTATCACACTTGGTGCTGCATCAGGCTTTTATGGGACATCCAGTATGACATCAGTGTTAAACTGAGAAAAATATTCAATCTGCAAAAATGAGATTCTTTTACTAAGATTACCTTGCATCAAAAGTCACACTTTGCAATATTTAGTTCAATACAAAAAGTTCATTTGAATCAAAATGTCGTTGTTGGTGCATCAGGCTTCTCACAAACTGAAAACAAAACATGCAATGTGCAGCTGCTGATATTCAATATGAGATGAAATTGTAGGTATTATAAATTATATTATACTATATTCTTCTACTGACTAGGATAAAAGTGCAAAAAAGTCACATTTGCATCTCCATCTGAATCAGTAGAAGTTCTTGTGATTCAGCTTTCAAATATTTCAATAAATAAACTGTTAAACCAGTTCACCTTTAAATGTCAACCTTCACTCAAAGCAAAAGATACGGAAATGTTTACACATTACACAAATAAACTTTTCACTGTATCTTGACACTTCGCTCATTTTTATTTTTAAACAACTACATATTTGGATCTCAGTGGGGTTAGGTTTAATGCACTGTATATTACTAATTAAAATACTAAATTATAAACGATACAGTACAAATAAACCACTTTTGCATAATTAAACGCTTGCAAACTTCTGTTTCCAAATGTGCATAATGTGATCCAATAGTTTTAGACAGACTGCATGGTTTTCCCAATTCTTGTAAACGTGTGTGTGTGTGTGTGTGTGGGACACTCACCCAGGACAAGGCAGAAGATGTCTAGTGCTATTAAAAGTTTCCTCTTGCTGTTGTTTACGCCGTTGTTATTTAACGTGGACGTTCCTCCGTTTCTAGTTTCGGGTGCCATCGCCTTCTCATACATATAGTTTTGCATTTGTTAGAGTTCCTTCTGATGTCTTTTTCCTAAAAAAAATCCCAGATATTTGTTTTGCACAGTGGTCTTGTCAGCAAAGGACGTGTCGTATATAAAGTTTAAAGAAGTTTCCGAAAAAAAAGAAAAAACAAACAAACAAAAAAAAGAAAAAAAAAACAACAACAAGTGGGAAGACGTCCTGGGAAGTTAATGAAAACACTGAGATGTCCCGTGCAATCAAGTCCACTCAACTTTTGTCGTCTGGTAAAGCGCGCGGTGTTTTTTGAGAAGCGGCTTTTCTTCTTCGCTTTCTCTGAATGATGCGGCGGTCAGTGAGTTGTGGTTTAGTTCTGTCGCTACGCTACTTGAAGGTCTGAATTGAGAGAGGCGTTTTAAAACTAGGAGATCAACTCCTGTTTATGAATCCTCCTTCGGTCTCCACCTCCTTCCCTTCAGCGAGCGTTCAGCCCCTTCCCCACTTCTGCTAACGTTATCCCGAAAGAGTCACGCTGAATGAAAGTGGAGAAGAGCGCTGGAGTAAACGCGGTCTCGAGTCGCACTCAGATACGGGCGGACACTGACTCCAGCGGACACTGCTGGAAACGCACTCTAGCCAGACCTTCGGACATGGGTTGGATGGATCTTTTACAGTCTATGGATGGAGCAGATAGGATGTGGGTTTAGATTAAAAAAATATAATTTCCTTTAATTTCCATGTTTCATTAATTTATTCATAATAAATGCAGAAAAAAAATCAGCACTATTTATGACTGAAGTAAATCAATCTTTCAATCTGTGATTTTGTTTGTAAAAACAACAACAACAATAATAATAATAATAATAATAATAATAATAATAATAATAATAATAAATAAATAAAATTGTAATACTAATAAAATAATAATAATAATAATAATAATAGAAAATATACATTAATAATAATAATAATAATAAGAAGAAGAAGAAGAAGAAGAAGAAGAAGAAGAAGAAGAAGAAGAAGAAAAAGAAGAAGAAGAATGATGATGATGATGATGATGATGATGATAATAATAATAATAATAATTATTATTATTATTATTATTATTATTATGTTGTTATACATAAATAAAATATTGTTTTTAAAATTTTAAAAACAATATTTTGAAATTTTAAAATTTCAAAGTTTCAAAATTTCAAAATAAATAAATATTAGTATATTTTATAATATGTAATAATAGTTTTAAAAATAAATTTATTATAATAATACTAATAATACTACTACTACTAATAATAATAATAATAATAATAATAAACTCCCGCACTATACTACATCTGACAGATGTTTTCACGCTTGCTTAATTCTTTCATTCTAGCTTTTCAACTCAAAACTTTGTATTTAAATTATAAACTGTTTATTTTTATATGTAGAATACTTTATTCGTAAGCTTGCAAAGTGTATGCTAAATAAATTAACAGAAAGTCAATTAAATGTAAATTAAGGTCACATGTAAAGAACAGTACAATTCTGCACAAGAACCAATGTTTAAAACTGGAACTCAATTGTAGAAGTTCATCTTTTATCGTAAGACAACGATCCCACAAGAAAGATAAAATTACCATTTGACTAACCACAGAACAAAGAGGCAAATGGCCAACAGTGGCTCTGTCAGTGATCTGAAAACAATACAATATGTATGAGACAATAAGACACCTGTGGAGCACAACAATCAGTTGAATTCCCCCCCC